GGAGGGCAGCGCGGCCCCAGGTGAGTGCAGGCGCCGGGGTGTGCCTGGAGCCCCAAGTTCCCACCGCAGGGCTGGAGCCACGGCTCCGGAGGCTGAACGGGCGTGGGAATGGAGCCAGGTGCGATGCGAGAAGTACTTTGGGGTTCGAGCGACCCCCGCACTCTTCAGATGGAGCGGCCACTCCGGGTGGTCTGCGTCGCGCTGTTGCGAGAGGGGCCCCAGCGGGCCGCTCCTGACCGCGGGCGGAGGGGGCAGGAGTAGGCGCGGGGGAGGAGAGGAGGGGGGGTGCGCCTGGCTCTGCGGCGGGCGGAGACTGCAAGGGAGTGCGCTTGTGTGCGCGGGGTCCCCGAGCCCTCCGCGCCAGACTCTTGTTACCTTCCGTGGAGGTTGGCGCTCACCTAAGGGCGCTCCACTTTGCTCGGTCGTTAGTATAACGCGGATGCAGAACATCTGCAGGGCTTGCCTATCAGCCCGACGCCCTGCTTCCCTCCGCCCGCTAAGCCCTAGGTGGGCGCGGGGGAAGGGACGTCCGGCTTCGCTGAATGCGCGTTGGACTTCTATGTGGGTCCCGGTGGACTTCTGTGTGGGTCCGGTTGGTACGCGGCTAGTGGCTGGTTTTCAACCCTCCAGTGTGGATTACTGACTCTACTCGTTGTCTGTGTGTCTTCAGGGTGTAGATCGTTAACCCTTTGGATCGCTTACATGTCATAGTTGAGGTGAGTAAAGATTGAACCTGGGCTCACCCGGCTGTGAGAAATGGAGGGCTGTGAAGACAAGGGCTGGGATTGGACCAGGAATATACTCGCAGCACCTTTGATTTGATAAGAAATAACTTCTCCTTATTAGACTATTTAATATGAGTGGAAGCTGAATAAGAGTCACCTTTCATAATACCTGTAACCAGAAAGGTGTTGACTCCTTCCTATGGAAGTAAGAGAAAAAGAACTTTATTGGGGAGGGGGGCAGATAGAAAGACGTGGAAACTCTGAAAGAGTAGAAATTGTGTGGCTGTGCTAAGCGACAGGACTGCTTTAAAAATAAAACAACAGAATAATTGCATAAACTGTATGTTTTAAAAGACCTTGTGAGCGGCAGCGTCGTTATTCTATTAAAGGGAAGTTTGCATAGATCCAGTGCCAACCACATCTAAATAGTTTTAAGTGTGCCTTTATGAAGACACGTTATTTTGGGGGAGGAGGGCAAGGGAAAAAGTAATTACATTTGAAGCTTTCAGTAACTCATCAATGATTTTCTTTCTGAAGACCTACTTTAGACTTTGTTTACTCAAGCTCTTGTTATTATGGATAAAGGGGAAATGCATTAGGGATCGGATTTCCTATCTTTTTACAGTTCTTTGAAGCTAGGAATTAAAATGGACAAGAATTGAGGCAGGGAGTGAAATTGGCATCTCTGAAAGTCTTGCTATGTTTGTATGTAATGTAGAGGGGTGGCTGTAATAATTAGGTAGTATCTCAAGTTAATAGTCTTATCTGGTAAAGCAAGCTGGAAGTCTGTCTGCGGAAGAAAAAAATAAGCAAACTATAGCAAGTAGTGCCCACAAACCCCTGCAAAAAGCTATTGAAGCCTGCAGCTTTAATCAAAGGGCATTGTGAAGATATTATTTTAATTAAAGGCTGTGATAGGCCATTAGAATTGTGTTAACAGCCCTCAGACAGACTCACAACTCTTCTTAAGTCTGCTTTCATTGATTTAATAGCTCAGAGTTTTTACCCTTCCTTATAAAAGGGTAATTGTAAAGTACCTATATTGCTGCAATTTCTCCTTGAATTGACTAGTTTTTAGTGCCCAGTGAAGAAGGGCGGTGCTGAGTCCACTGAGCTAGCCACTCTATATTTCCTAGATCTAAAATCCAACCCACTGCCTCCTTTCACTTGTGATTTCTTTTGCTCTTCTTCCGTTATTTAGTTGGTGTTTTTGTTTGTTTGTTTTGATCCGATGACATAGTTGGTGTAAACTTCCCAGAATTTTTACTGATATAAGGAAGTGAGCACATCTTCATGTTCAGTCAAACACTTTCATAATCAGTTCCAGATATTTATAGAGGACCGGCCCTATAAATTGTTCTTAGCTGTGAATGTTTATTGCTGAATGAATCCATCTTTCCTGGATTTTGTAAGTTTTTACATTTATTACTTTAATAGCTTGTATCATCACATTACAGTTCTCTCTTACAAAACATAAATGTCTTATGCTTGTTTGGAATGCTTCAAAGCGTCGGTTAAATTGGGAGTTTCAGAAACTTCTAAAATAACAAACACGCATTAGTTGATTACACAGGGACTATGATGGAAGCTTCTTTCCTTGGCGTCAAGGAATCAGTTGCTACTTAGTGCAGTGATCAAGGGGAGCTGAGGACAGGGAGGCAGACATGTGATCAGATCCTGTGTGTGACCAATGCATCCTTTGACAAGCAGAGCAAATCTAGCTGTAACCAGCAATACACTAGTGCCTCCTCTGGGGATTTGCTGGTTCTGCAGGATAATACCCCTGCAAACACTTACCCCCTGTCATGCTGCAAGACTCCTCACAGATAGGATTCCCAGGCAAGTGAATATGTGCCCATCCATCTGTGCCTTCGGTGGTTCAGAGGACACTGTAGGTTTTCAGGCTGGTAAGATCCCTTTTCTAGTGTTTTCAAAGTGTCTAAAAAAAAATATATGTATATTTTTTCCTTTTCTGACGTCACATAACCCACACCTGGCACAATGTAAATACAAGGAGAAATTAAAAAAATATATATGATACCACTTTTTTTAAAAGGCAAACTATGAAGACAAGAAAGAGCACTTTAAAAATATATTTCCTGTTTTGATATTACACAAAGAACCCGGGTGAAGCACTGGTTAGATGCTCAGGGGGTGGCTAGTGGCTCCAAGGAGAAGGATGTGTCAGTGTGCTTGTGCACAGATGTAACTTGCCCTAAAGGATCACTGTGAGTCAGAATCGAAGGCAATGGGTTTAGATTTGGTGAGTTTTATATTACATAACTACTTTGGAACTATTGTGTTTTGCCCCTTTGCTTTCTTTTTAATATGCCCAGGCTTCTTCCAGTTAATTATAAACTATTGTTTTTCTTTCTTTTTCATTCAGACCTTTTGCATAGTTTCAGATTACCTAATAAGCAAGGTAAATATATGTTAATTTGTGCCTGCTTACTAACCTAAAGTGACCAATTTCCTTTTTTTTTTAACCATATCAATGATTCTGCTTCTGGGTATGGCTGGCATCTGTTTCTCTCCCAACCCCAGGCCCCCTTGCTATAGAATCAAAGCCTCTTTCAAAAGTACAGTCCCTGATAGGGACCGAGTACCCAGCCAGCAAGGTAAGCATGGGCTTCTTTGTGCTTTTACTACAGAGATTATGAATCCCGTGTATGAAATGGTTCACTACAGATTAGTAAGCACAGGCTTACCTTGCTTATTGGGTAATCGCCCCTGCTTCTGCCTAAGGCAGAGCGTCTTGTACATAATTGAGAATGACGCTGCCATCCATCAAGAGCAGTTTCTTTTTCATGTTTGATAAGCAGACAGACCCTACTGCCTGTGTGATTCCTGCCCAGGGCCCCTGTTGGAGTATTTAGGCCACTTAACTGTGGGAGACCGTGGTCTGTAGCTGTAATGTTATCTGGCCTAGGGAGCTAATGGATTTGATCACAGTTTCTTGCCTTGAGAAGTCAGACCATCCAGGATCTCAGCCTCACTAATTAAAGTTAGAGCTTTTAGTTACAGAGGAGAGAGAGGCCTGTCACATTCGTACTGAAAATACTGAAGTTACTACTAAACTTTAATGGTATAAGATCCAGCTAATTATATGATATTATAATGGAGACCTAGTGTGGGGCTATATGGTAAGCACTGGACTGTTAACCACAAGGTTGGCAGTTCAAACCCACCAGCCTCTCCTCAAAACCCTATGTAGTGGTCACTATGAGTTGGAACTGATTTGTTGGCACTTATCGGATTCTTGGTGTAGTGCTGTGGGATAAAGCGTTGGACCGCAAGGTCAACAGTTCAAACACACCAACCACTCCTTGGAAACCCTATATAGGGTTGCTATGAGTCGGAACTGACTCGATGGCACTTAGCAACAACAACAACAACAACAATAGCTTATTATTATAATGGGGACCTGGTGTAGGAGTGTAGGATAGGTACGTTACTGCTAACTACTGACTGCAATGCTACCAGTCACTTCTGGGGAACATATACAGGGTCACTAGACATTGGAACCAACATGGTGGCACTGAACTGCAGCAACATATTGCTATAATAGATGCTGAAGATGGTCAGATGAAGTCTAGAATGATCATGGTGGTAACATTAGTAACAGAGACTCATCCCAAATAGAATTTGAAGCCACAACTAAAAGGGTACAGCAGGTGTTGTGGTTACTTTGCCAAACAAGTAGCCATATATACACATATATAGATATATGGGTTTTCTTGAGTTGGCCACTTGCTATCTGAGATAATCATTGGGTTGTCTATCAAATTGCAGTGGAAATAATTCGTGTTATTATGTAGTAGGAAGTTATCTTTTTGTTTGTTGTGATTATTTAGAAGAGAGAAAGCAGTTTTAAAACTTCATCATATTCACAGAGCGTATATATATATATATATATATCCCTAAACAATAGATTCCCAAGAGCATTATTTTCACTCCCTAACGCTGATCTACCCCGGATGGAAGTTATGGTGATCTCCCAATTTGTAAATGAAAACTCATGCTCATTCAATTTTGAGTCCGATCCGATCTTGTTTTTGGCTTTGGAGGAAGATGATAAATTAAAAACAGTTTCATTACTCAGCATGAGCCATTTCTGGCAAAACACTAACACACCCACTGGATCTGATCATCCCCAGTTCCTTCAGCAAGTAGGTAGTTGTATGGCCTGGGGCCTTTCACTAGGACTGTAGATTTCTACTTGTTAAGTGGCATCCAGTCAGTGCAGACACATAGCTACCCTGTACACAACAGAACGAAACACTGCCTGGTCCTGG